AGAAGCACAGACTTTAGAGAAACGGAAGTTTGTTGTTGATTCGAACATCTTGCAACACAAAAAAGGTTTTAAACCACCGAGTGTTCCAAAAGTGATGCAACCGTTTTAACGGTTGGAAACGGTTCTATAGTAGGCAACGTTTTTGGGTTTACGAACACTTTGCGTGCATGTGCACATGGGTGTGTGAGTGTGTGTGAGGCTGTTTGTTTTCTGGGGCTACAACTCCTGACTCGAGCACTTTCTGTTCATTAGAGACTGGTATGAAAAAGATTAATTTAAGTGCTGACCGGTATCTTTCTCTTAAAGCCTGGGACTTGGAACCAAGCCGGATAATTATAGGCTCATTTGGGAATAAGACTTCTAATGCTCTGGACTTTATGTACATGTGAATGGCTTTCATTAAACAATTTGGATGCAGATTTTATGGCCCAATTAAGGAAACACTAGTGCAGAGACGCACTGCAAGGGTAAAAATATGTTTTCAGCAGAGACAGGAGCAACGCCTTTGCTACATTGTGTGAATGTCAGGGTTTGTTAATGTATGTGTTTCGGGTGTTAAACTCCATTACGTGTTTACCGCTCGCAGGAGTGGGAGTTAGCCGTCTGTGAATGCAGCGAAAACTTTTCAGGATGATTTTTCATCAATGTCCCTCGCAAACAAAAAGCCCACTGTGGGCACATTTCTGAGATAAACTGTCCCTCTCTGTGCACAATTATAAGTGATAAAGAAAATTGAGTTTATAAAATGCCAGTTTGCATCAGAGGAGCTAGTATAAATGAGTTCCCTCTCAGCAGCGACCACGCCGTCTGGCTTTGAGGGTCGTCCAAAAGTTATTGGAAGAATCTGATGATTTTTTTGTGTGGTTTTTTGATGTAATGCAGTTACCGAAGTGAAAAGGATGAAAAACAGCAAAAGACAATTTATGCGTCATGGGTATTCTGTCAACACGTTTTATAATTAGAACAATTTTTAGCTGAAATTTCCTTGACATAATGGGCTCTGGAGTTTGGCTGTTCAGTGATTTTTCTGTTATACGTGTATATTTGTTTAGCCATAAAGCGTATTGTGATGAGGTGTGTGTGTGTGTGTGTGTGTGTGTGTGTGTGTGTGTGTGTGTGTGTGTGTGTGTGTGTGTGTGTGTGTGTGTGTGTGAGTGTGTGTGTGTGTGTGTGTGTGTACGTGGGTGGATCCTTGCCCATTAGCCCTGTGCTCCATCATGTGTAAAGCTCCACATAACCAGCCCAAGCAGAAACATGGGGCCTTTTCTGCATACTTTCTGTTTTTTTCCCTCCCTCACAAAAAAAGAGAAGCGAGATGGGATCTTATGGAGGTAATTATTCCTGAGAGCCCAGCCTGTCATCTATACTCCACCACCCCACCATCCACGCATCTCCATCCCTCCCTACCACCCCACCCACCGCCACCCGACATGCATTAAAGAGGGAGAGGATCCTCTTTGTCTGCCCCCCCCCCCCTCCTCCCCATTTCAAACAAAAGACCTCTTCTGACTTTGAGAGACCAACAACATTTTTATCATGTGCGCTTCTGTGTGTCTGTGCGTTCCAGATCCTTTTGTTTTCTCTGAGTGATAAGGCTCTGGGACATTTTTTTGGTCCTTGTCAAATTACCGTAGCCATGCTAACCGTATACGTAGCAGCTGTAGGCTAAAAACAGAGGCTAATGCACTCTTATGATCCCCATGCTCGTGTAAGGATATAGATGCATTTGTGTTCATCCAGCAGGAAGTGATGAAACGTGGGCACAGATGAAGTCTGCCATCTTGTTTCTAACTATTTGCTTCTAACCCAATTCCGACTGTATGCTAACTAAGCTAAATCACAAGTGTTCATTCTTGGAACAGGATATTCTCTTGAAGTACTTCCTGATATTTGGACATCTCACCTCTGATTGGCTAAGAGCAATGTGACTCTACTACTGACTGAGTTTACTTTGCAACATTGATGGTTCACCTCTGCACATAACACAAGCCTAGTCTTGCCATGTGGTGGAGTTGCTGATGCTAAACGCTTTTAATCGGCTGAGATGCTCTCTGCTGTTTCCTAGACGCTAAACCAACAACAGCGTTCTGTGTCATGAGTCAAGGTGACATCACACTGTCAGGCTTTTTAAATCGTAGAGTTCCACCATCTATTTTCTATCAGAAGCTAATGCAGGAGATAGGTGTAGGAGACTATTTCCATGTTCAGCCTACATAAAAAAACTATGAGTGACGGATTATAATCAGAAATAATAATTAAAAAAATGTTTTTCAGTGACCCACATCTTTAAGATATGAAGTTTAACCCTGTTCCCTTACTTTGACTCCTCCATTTCATCCTTTTTCTCTGGGTGGTGGAGGTGGTTTTAGCCATTCCAGTGGTTCGCTGCTTCTTCTTCTTCTTTTTTCTCTTTTGGGCAAGGCCCCTTCTCAGACAGAAGTCTATTTCCAGGGTTTGTCTCAGTAATTTGTGGCCATTACATAAACATGCATGGATGCCCAGAAGAGGGAGAGAAGTGATACAACACACTCCCAGAACTAGCTAACCGCCGGCGTTAGCGCAGAGGTGGCCATTTTGTTTTGAGGACTGCTTGGAGAGGACGAGAGTTGCTAAATGGTTGTTTCTCATGCGCTCGTGCTTTAAATCTCTGTTTTTATAACTAAATCTGGTCAGGAAAGGTTAGAAAGTTGGATGCATATTGGTTTGTTTTGATGTTTTGGACGCCGATTTCTATG